TGGTAAATTCAGGAAGTATGAAGAAACGAGTGTCTTCCTGTCACCTTGTTAGTAGGTTATTTGCTCAGGCTTCATACTTTCTTGTCCTTTGCCAATTTAGTCTGGTTTATTTTACAAAAAAAAAAAAAAAAGAAATCATGACAATCTGAACAGTGTGGTTCAGTAGGGCTACTGCCACCAAGTGGCTTATAGTAGCTTAGTGTGGTAAAGGAGGGGAGGTGGAGGGGGAAGTAACCCTCGCTCTTGGAATAGTTGAATGGCATTCATTCTTCTGTTGCATCAAAATAAAAATCATAACAAGTCCTGTCTGAGTTCTCTGAGATTCTCAATAGAAGAACAAAAGCCTTCAGTTACCTCTTCTGCTAAAGGGTGAAGTTGTATAATAGTGAAGAACTTGAGACTGAAATTACTGCTGTGCAAAAAAAAAAAAAATAAAAAAAATTTTCTTTTTTAGATCAGATGACGTATGGTTTGTTTTTCTGACCTTTGTCCTGATCTTGGTCTGTCCCAAGGGTAAACCAAGGCTTTAGATCCAGTGGTCAGCACTGCACTTTATGCTTTCTTGGTTGGGTGGAGGTAGGGCATGGAGAAGGAAGGAGAAGTGGGGCTGTCCAAGCTACATGCTCACACACAGAGCACTTCCTAATGAGGTAGTGTTGCACTCCCCTTCATGGAGGTGCTCTGCCTCACTAGAAACCAAATAGATACATACCTGTGGAACAAGTCACCTCCCCTTCATACAATTTAGAGACAAAAATGCACATTAATGGGAAGGGGGGGGCAGAGGGGCAGAAATTACTTGTGACATTGGAGTCAGTCTTCTTTCTAGGGTGAAAAATACTGAAGCATATAGCAGATGCATTAGTACAACCAGATTTAATGTACAAATCTGGTCATTCTTTTATTTATGGTTGTATTTGTGAACCAGAGAGGGCAGTGGTCAGTACGCTTGAATTCCTGGCTGTACTGCATTGCCATTGAAATGTTTACACAAACTTGCACTTATAATCTTTGTTATACGTTTTACTGAACTGTGTTCTCTGAATGGAACACAAAGATAAAATACAGGCCCATCATGTATAAATTACCATTACTACTAAAGCAGATCTAAGAAGCTTTTGGGTTTTTTTAAGAAGCAGAAAACTTATAAAATTAGGAGGTAGCTGTGTTGTATAGTAATTCCAATGCATTAATACTAGATTTAAGAAAGTTGTTGGCTCACCTGCATTTTTGTTGGAGCTCATCACAAGGTTGTGGGCTTTAAGAGAAACAGATGGCAAACAATACTTTGTTTTAAGAAATACTCCAGTATTTCTTAAAATTATTTCGTAAATGCCCTCAGAGACAAGTGATATTATGCTGTATAGTTTCTGCTCACTTTTTTTGTGCTTGATAGCACTTATAAAATACTGCTATATATGAAGTGTTTTGTGAAAGTAATTTTTTTCCCTGCTTTCGAGGAATTACACTTTTATCTCCCAGCATGCTTCTAATTTAAATATTACTTTCACACACACAGGTGTCTGGGTTTTATATTTAACTGTAGCTGATGAACAATTGTAATACTGATTACTGGTGAGAAAGAGAAAGGGTTCTAGCTAGACCCCACAGGGTTATTTCTTTTTGTTTGCAGCAAACTTATCCCCCAAAGCAGGACTGAAGACAGTTTTGTTCCTCCTGTTTAAATTAAGCTACCTTTCTGGTAAACTGTTACCTCATAAGTTAAAAATGCAAACAATGTAAGCTGTATCCCTTGTGATCTTGGAGCTTTTTTTGGCATGAGAGAGAGAATTGGTAGCATATTTAATACGTCTTTTTAAACTTCATGCAGGCACACATCTATTCTTTAGGTGCAACGTTGAAAGCAGCGATAGAATATCTAGTAGAACCTGAGACAGAATCAGAATTTGGGCAAGATCTGCATACACTGCTGGAACAAATGCAAGAAGAAAATCCTGAAAATAGGCCAGATATTGAGGTAAAACAGCCCTACATAATTTTCTGTTTTAAAAAAGTGACAAAAAATATTCCTGTATGTGTGCTCGTTAATAGAGAGATAGTCTTTATGCATAATATGCTCAGATTTTGGAAGAAAGCTGAGGTTTTCCCAGACTCAGCAGAAATTCTTTCTTCTTACTCTAATGGAGATACGACCTGAAAAGCAGATGTGAATGCTTTACGGTGATTTGATTTTTAAGAAGGTTGTGTGAATACACTTGTGCATCTAAATTTTCTCATTCTCTTTCTTCCCATTTAATATTTAGTTTACAGAGAGAGAGAGTTGTTAGAAGTAAGAGCACAGGCATTATGCTGTGAAATTTGAATGGTTCCTCAAATGATGTTTGGATTGCATTTAAGAAGGGGATGGAGGGAGCCACACCCCAGGAAACTTCTGTCCCTTGGCGTGTTCAAAGCAGTGTTGTTCAAAGCATTACTACTATTTTTTCTGTAAATATATGGTAGTATTTGATTAGATATCTTAATTGGTTTTGCATTTTATTCCATTTAGCCTCTTATTTTACCTTTAATTTTTAGGAAGAGCTTGAAGAGATACAGGATTTTTCAGGATTATGTTTTCAAAGAATTTACATTCTAAATGTTGGTTACATAATGCTGTGTCATTTGACGTTGATGTGTGAAAATTTTTAGCTTTAATGTATTGTTTTGCAGACTTTCAGATTGTAGGCAGAGAATAACAGTTGTCCAAATGTGACTTTTCTTGGGTTTAGTTCTTGTACTTCAGAATAGTGCTATCTACTTTTCTGGGGGGGGTTTTTGGGGGGGGTTTTTTTGTTTGTTTTTTGGGGGGCTTATTTTGGTTTTTTTTTTTTTTTTCTGAGCTGGTAGTGCATATTCTAAATGGTATAGCAGAAAGAGTGCTGCAACAGAGAAACTAATAGATTCATTTTTATAAAGGAAATAATATTGGCTCCCTGGCTGAGCACTGACCAGGCAGGAGACCATTCCTGCCATAGAGCCTCCTTGATCAGTTCTTGTATTTCTATTTGTTTACCTTCAAGCATAATCAGGAAAGGGATTGTATAGCACTCCCTGTCATCTCCAATTGGTCTATAGTCCCTGAAAGCTACTGCTGACTACTTACTTACATCAGCCCAAAAACAGAGTGGGTCAAGGCTGGTCTAGGGCAATATATATGAAGGCTACTTTGTGACTATCTGTTCTCTTTTCCATTTCTTTTCCACTGAGCCCTTTCTTGGGTGGAAGGGAGTGGGGCGAGCTATGTGGAGAGAAAACCATAGACTTTTGCAGGCTTTTCACTAGACTCCAGCACACCTGGATACCTGTGTCACTTCCTGTCCTTCCTGAATCTGATGGGTGAACCAACAGAGACAATTTCTTCTTTTCACTCACAACAGCAGAAGAGCAGTTGAGCAGGTCCTTAGAGCTGTAGGAGGTCTCATCAGTGTTTATCTAGGAACAGTTACTGAGGAAACAGTGGTATGCATTTGGAAAGACAGCTCTCTTCTACTTCATGCCCATAGTGACAGGTTTTTAAATGTGTGAATGCCTGTGGTTAATTGTGTGTGAGACCAGTGCTAATGCTATCAAATGATGCTCAGGCTACAGATTAGAGATATGTAATACTGTTCCTTCTTGAGATCTGATAATGATTGCTTTCTCTAATTGGGAATAGTGCTTTCTAGATATTTGTATTTTGCAGCTTTTAAAAGATTCCAGATTTACTTTTAATGTAGTTTCCGTAATAAAAACATTCATCCTCCTGCCTGTGTCACTCAATTCAAGTGAATCACTGGCTGTTTAAAAACCAATCCACATTCTAGCTTTTTATGTTTTCAGTATGTTATTCATAAAGGTTAACACTTAAGATTATTAATTTTTATCAGTTGTTCTTAGTGTTCTAGCTGTAGGCTAGAACTTGAACTGTATTAAATAATTTCTTGATAGCCCATGGTAAAAATGATAAATTATTTCAACCACATAATAGAAACATGCAATATAATGAACAGTGCAAGAGAGACCGCCAATGTAGTATCATCTAAATTCAGATGTACTATATGAGTTAATATGATTCACTTTAGTCAAAATTCACAAATCTATTCATTATTAAATGAGTATTTAACGCAAACTTTCTCTAGAGCATTTTGTCATTATGTGAAGAAAAACTGAAGATTGCTTCATCAAGTAATATTTGCCAAAGCCTATCTGCTGTTGGAAGAAGGGTTCTTTCAATTGAATCATTTGGTCCTTCTCAAGGTAACCTTAAAATATGTTTAATATAGAACTTTAGATTGCCTGACATATCTAATGGTTTTTAAAATACTATGTTTGTGTACTTTCCTGTTACAGGTTTCTTTCTAGATATCAAAAAGTTATTTTTAAATATTTGTGAATTGAGGGTGGGGAGCAGGGGACATACAACTCTTAATGAATTAACATAATATATTTAGAGTGTCTGTTATGATTAAAAGTTCGTTGTCCAGAAATAATTTGTTTGTGTAACATACAACAGCAGTAGCAGAAAAAGCAATATAAAGATTTACTAGGAAAGATTAGAAGGCTTAAATACACATTTAATATAAGCATCTGTTTTTGCATCTAGATGTCTGTGATAACATGTGGAAGGGAAGAATGTGTCAGAGAAGTTTGGGATCTAAATTATATTCAAATGAGAAAAACAACATAGCAGGTGATTCGTCTGCAGTGGAAGATGTGACAGCTACCTGTCATAAGGACTCTTCTGTAGTTACTATGGTGACTGGCAGAGAAAGTGGTTTAAAGGAAATGCAAATTGACCTGGATAATGAGAAAACTCAACATTCTCGACTTGCAACTGAAGCTAAAAAGAGCAAAGAAGAGGACAAACATGCAGTGTATACTGACAGTTTTGCTAGTATTGCTTTGGATATAAAATCATGTGTTACTGACCTGGAGAGAGATGGCATTTTTGAGAAAGGTTCTTTGAGAAAAATTAAAACCTTTCCAAAGCTACCACTTGAACCTTCAGACACAAATAACTTTTTTACTCCTGTAACCAACAGTGGACCACTAACTAGGAAAAGTCACTTGCTAACACAAGAGTCACTACCTCTAGACAATAATAATGAGGTTGCTTTTTCAAAGGGAAATCTTAATTCATTTGCTCTTAGTAGTCCACCAAAAATAGAACCAAAGAATCACCAGGTTAATGATCTTCACTTAGAAGCTCCGTGTGTATGCACACAGGTGTCTGGCATGAATCTAGAAGAACATATGTCACTTATTAATGGTAAAAAGATAGATTTTGCTTCATCTGATCACAAAGATGACTGTTCTGATGCTACCTCTGAAATGCCAAATACAGCTGGTAAGCTAAAAGTCCCAAACCAATCAATTGCTGGAGCAAAAATGCTAGACAATTACAAGGCATTGGAAGACTCTTCTGAAACTTTTCAAGGGTCAAATGAAAATTCTTTACCACATTTTAACAAGATGGCTTCAGTGTTAACAGCAAAACCCAGTGGGAACAGATATGGATCAACCCTAATTAGGTCTCCAGAATTAAGCAACGGTGTGATGAGTGCAAACAATAATGAAGATAATCTTTGTGGAGGCAGAGGGTCAGAAATCAAAAGTAATGAGCAGGTAGTAAAAATAAAGTCTTCATTATATAGTTGCTGTAGTCACTTATGTGGAGATGAAATGACTTAAATACTGTGTGATTGCTTCCCCCCTTGTTCCCTTTAACATCCTGGAAAATAGAATTTTGCTGGTCTGCACACTTTAAGAGTTAATACTGGAAACATGATGATCCTTTTTTCCTCTTCAAACGTAAAGTGTTACAGTGAAATTTATGCTATTACAAAATCAACTGTCACTCTAATTTCTTTTTACAAATGGAGAATCCTTGCTAGTGTGTTAGAGCAGCATACTTAGTAGTTGATTACATTTGTAAGAGAACATTACCAAGGCATATGTAGACTTTTAACTCTTTGTGCTACTGTCAATGCATAAAATTCACTACCTTGCAGTGGGCCTCCCAGGTGCTTATGAAAATTGCAGAGTTTCTGCCTGTAAAACTGACCTCATTGAAATCAATATCTCATCTGCTTCAGGAGGTCAAAAAGACTCCACTTTTTTTAGCCTACATGTGCATTTAAGTTTTTGAAAATTGTACATGTGCTATATCTGTTCTGTGTTCTTGAATTACCACCTCTGTGTGTGTTATGTATATTTCATGGTAGAATTCAAGTATGTGCACAATTTGAAGGGTTTGTTGTCTCAAGCATTTCATCTTTACAAATAACCAAATAAGTCTAGGGAGAGCTGATAATTAGTCTACTAGAATTTGTTGATAGATTGTTGTAGTATGGTCTCTTCTCTGCTCACATTACATATTCTCAGGGTGGACAAGTTTGGTCTCTGACTAGATGGTTTTCTCTTTTGTCACACTCAAAGAGATGTAAAAAATCTATTTGATAGGAGAGCTGCTGGCTAAGTATGCAGGATGGCTGATGCTTCTCCAGCCTTCCTGTGACTTCATAAAAATGAGCTGCACAGACTTCACGCATTTCATTTCCAGGAATTATGCTTAGGTGAAGATGTTGGAGTTTTTTCCTTACTTGTCTACTGACAACTCAGCATTGTTCTCCTTGCCTAATGCCAGTTTTCCAGCTATCTCATGCAGTGGCATCTTGTGTTATTTTCCATCTGCATCCATCCCTTTTCACCTTGCCCAAACACCTCCACTGGAGGAGTAACCTAGAACTGTCGAGTGTGTCAAGAGTGTTTGGTTCATTGTAGCTAAAAAAACTAATGCAACATTGAAGGTTCTGTTCTAAGGGATTTTTCCCCTTTCCTGTCTCTTCTCCTCTCAATAGCATGTGCACTTATTAAATTCATAGAGCAGGAGGATAGTAAAGATGGATAAGTACCATGTGGTATGGTTTTGCTCTCTGAGGGAGTTACTCATTATATGCATATTGAGTCCTTTATTTAGTTTTTAAATCCTGCAGCTGCATTTCTCAGATTCTGGGAAAAGATCCATTTACTGTAGACATGCCTCTTCCCTCCTGCCCCTCTTCATGCTCTAGTCTATGTAACTTTACATATTCAGAAGAGAGTGCAAAGTAATAATCAGATTTATAATCATTCCAAAGGCTTCTGCTTTTGCTATGTCATTTTTTTTTATTCTGGGTTTACGTCAACCTGCTTCATTAGGTAGACATGCTTGTTTGCAGGAAGGATCATAGCAATTTTGGTCACTGATTTCTTGTGAGAAAGCTTGTTAGTATACAGAAATCTAGATATTTCTTAGTATTCAAGCAACAGAAACAATTGTCATCTTATGTGCAAATCTCTTTTTTCTGAATGGGGTTTATTTTTTTATGCTAAACGGTATAAACCTAGGAATTGATTTGCATGCTTATTTGTCATGGAGAGGATGGCTAAGATGAGGCTATCAGACCCCTACAAAACCACTGCAGCTGGTTTGTTGGGGTTTTTGGTTTTGGGGGTTTTTTTTGTTGTTGTTTTTTCATTCCAAGAAATAAAGGTGCCACACTTAAGTCACTTGCCTTGAGGTGGAAGTGGGCTTAAGCCTCTGTTAACTAGAAAGGTGTGAGTAAGCTGCCATCACTTAAGAACATAAATTGAGTGTGCTGATAGGGTTCTTTAAGGAGGAAAAAAAATGTTGAAATAAGACCTATATTCTGTCCTTACTGTATTACCAGGACAACAGTTTAAATCTGTGTGCATGAAGATACTTTCAAGAAAATAATCTTCCACAGAATTATACTTTCATAAAATTCTTGCACAATTTAAAAACTGTAACAAATGTCCTGATTGCTTTTCCTGCAGCAGCACTTGAGATTGGCACACAGAAAAGTAAACCAAAACATCTTTTCAGGTTATTATGCATTCTTCTGAGATCAAATATTTCATCATCAATTTAAATAGTGTTCTTTCAGCCTGAAAAGAATTTCATTCTTCCAAATGAGTAGGCTTTTAGTAGAAGTGAGGTTATCCTGCTCCCGCTGAATTCACAGGACAATCACAGTGAATTAGAAAAGGTAACTATTATTCCAGTTACCCTGATAATCAAAGTCATAATACATATGATCTGAAATGAAGACAGCAGGGTGGTGGTTATCTAGGAAATCAGAGTTTTATAGCTGTGTTTTCAGTAGAATAAAGGTTTGGTAGACTCATGCTCTATATTCTTTTTGTAATCATCAATTCCAGCAAATGCTCAGGTTCTGCCACATAAAAGTGTTATGCTCTTTAGAGCTTCTTAAAATCCTAAGTTGGTCTTAAAAAAAGAAAAAAACAATATACATGCACAAAAACGTCTTTGATTATTTAACTGCTGTAGGGAGAAAAAAGCATTTAAATGTACCAACATGTGAGCAACTCCTAGGTTTCTGAAGTGGCTGGCTGTTCCCTGAAATGCTGAGCTTCTAGCCTGATAATCATTGTTTTCTGAAGGAAGGTCATTCATTTTCAGGAGTTATTGAACTGTATGGCAGATTCTGTTATAGGTCTTCTTAGAGGGAAGTTTGTTTTGGTTGGTATTTTTGTTTTCATCTTCTTTTTACTCTTCTGGAAAACTGATTTTATTCCTCAGGCTTTTGAAACAGCAGTTTCTGCCCCTGTCTTACCTCTTGACAATTGCAAAATAAAGCCATACTGTGCTATCCCTTATGTGACAAAGTTACAAGTGATGTCTCTCTACACTTTCAAGTTCCCTTTGATTTCTTCATGCCAGAATTTTAGCAAATACCTAAAAATGTTTGGGTTTTTTTTAAGAAGCTAAAACTTGAGTCTGAGAGTTTGTTACTTTATTGCAAAGGCACAAAAAGTGTGAAATCCCAACTAATGTGATTTCTGTATTCTGGGCTAAATAGAAAACACCTGAGAAGACTTACACCGCTGCTCTTTCACTGGTTTTCTATAACAGATAAGCATGATTGCAGCAAATAGCGCTCTTAGAGTAGTATCTCTAGCATCTATTTAAATATTTATTTTTCTTTAGAGAAACTGCAATACCAGTCCCATCCGGTTGAAGATCAACCTTGTCTACTCTGGAGAACAGACAGTTTTTCTCACCTGTCAATAATACTTCTCCAGTGGACAATATTTTTCTAATACCCCAACACTGCTTCTTAATGTTGTGTGCTTTATGCTAGTAAGCATTACTAAAAATACTTGCTTGCTTTTGTGTGGCTACTGCAATGTATCTTGTGAGGGTTTTCCTAGTAATTTTTATAGTTTTGCATGCCATAAATAAATATTTTTCACTTCAAGTTTGAGTGGGGATCTTTTATTTCTCTAACCAATTTCATTCCAATCAGGTGTGTCTCATCTCTAATGCTTTTAAATTTCTCTGTGAATCAAATGCTATGACCTTTACAAGGGAAGGGTTAACAGGTACCTGACATATACACATTTCTTTTCTGTTAGTCATTCATATGCAGTCAAGCATAAGAGAAGTGAAATGCCATGTTAGAGAATGACACTTGAACACTGGGGAAATAACACTTGAAAGAAAGAAAAGTTGTCAAATTCCAGAATAATACTTATTAAGAAAATAATAATTAAAATCTTTCTTGCTTTGTCTGTTTAAAATATGCCAGCATTATGTTCATGAAATAGATTACGTTGGCATAGTCTGAATGCTATGTAAAGTTTGGTTTTACAGTCCTGGTACCATCAATAAAACAAAAGATCTGTTAAATAGTCTTTGCAGCACTGAAGAAAGAAACACCACTTTTTCAAGAAGTGAGGTTTAAAATTAAATCTTTTTGGCATAAAACAAAATGTCACCAGTATGTAGCTATAGACAATAATCAGTCATATGGTTTTTCATATTTTCTGTCAAAATTTCTATGCTGTGAAAAACATTTTCTTATTTTAAAAACTGGGTTACGTAATTGCTGTTATGAAAAGGTCTGTTTTAAAACATGAAGAAAAAGTTCAGGAAGAGGCACTTGATTATAATTTTGTTTGCTCTTTGGTGCAATTTCACTGGTGATAATGTATTAATAAATGTTTTGGATCAGTATTAAAAAATGTTAGTGCTTTAAGTGGAGTGGACTTGAAGCCATATGGATGCTGAACAGTTGTCTTGAGCTTGCTTTGCTAAAATGCCTGAATAGATAGTTAGGAAAAAATGCATGCTGCAGGCAGTTTGACTAAAAATTTTAATCATACGTTTTCCAGCACTTCAGATTTTTTTTGTCAGTGGCTGAGTGGGATTTTTTGAAGTTGTAAGAAATAGAAATAGCCATGAATCAGAGACTTGCATGTTGAAAAACAAAACAACCAAACCTGAGAGAGATGCCTAAATAAGGGAGTGTTACACTTAATTTTTTACCAAAACATAAACAGATTCTGTAGAATTTGAAAGTGCATTGCAGTAAATAGCTGCTTTGAGGTTTAAACAAAATTTGCCTCGTAGCTTTAGTTTGAGAATGCTGTTGTTTTTCCTTTGGAAGCTATTTTAACCAGACTGCATGTGTTTTTTCATCACAGATGTAAATGTGTGATGAAACGTGTCTTATCATGTACCTTGACTACATCAGGTAACTTTTACAAGCTGCTGGAAGGACAAGTCCCCAGTGGGTCTAGACCCTCAGTCTTCTTCAGATGTGGTCTTCCAGAATTCTCTCTTTCTGGTGTAGGAACATGAGCATTTGGAATAATTAGGGCACTAGAAGAGTGTCCTTCTCAGGTACATTTTTCAGGAATAAAAATATTTTTTATATGGTCACGGTGGGTAAGAGACAATAGCAATGCAGACAGTTAGTAGTATCACAGGAGAACAACTGGTATATGAATAGTAGCTGGCAATATTAGTATTTGAAGTTTAATCTTCCTTTAGGGTGCTTGCCAGAGAGAAACAATTGAGGGTATACATTTAAATAAAGTTCACTGATCTGTAACCAGACTGCATCCTTTTTTTTTCCTGAGTCAGGTTAATTTGGCCATCCTGTGGAAGGCAGTGATGCTCACTTCTGCTAGGATTTGCTTTTTCCTACATCCTTTTTTCTTCTGAAACAGAATTTCAGTTTTTGGTGCCTTTTCATCCTCTATTTTGTTATCTATCATTGGCACTTTCTTCTTTCCTATCATTAAATTTTGCTGCTGCTCTTAGGGTTTATTCCTACTTTCCTGCTGTTCTTAAATGTCTGTCATTTCTTTCTTCCTCTAGAGAGCTTGGACATCCCAGAAGTGATGAGAAATACCTTTCAGCTTTCTGCTGTACAACTAACTTCAATCTCCAGTTTAGTGAGAGATTCTTCTTCCCCTTGCTAGGCTTTCATCACCTTCTCCTGAAGTGAGAGGTGATTTGTATATGGAATAGAGGAAGTCTATCTTTCTCCGCTGCAGCTTTTGTTGCCTCTGGGGACATAAACTTCAAGAGGAGGGATTCTCATACAGAGAAACATGTGTCAGTGATGTGTACTTATTACAAAAATGTTCCCAAATCCCAAAACCTTCTTAATGTTCAACTCAGTCTGTGGAATTTCTCTTTTGATTTCTCTCCATTCATGTCATGAATGGAAGATTTGGCTGCTGCTTTCATTGTAAAATGTCTGTAAGCAAAGACATTTGAGGCATGTGAGAACCAGGATGCTATGGAGGGGGGAACACAGCGCTGATCAGGGATAGTAATCAATCCACAATGTAAAGCTCTGTTTTGAATGTTCTCTAGACTAATTCATTCTTTTGACTATCTGACCTCTTCCTTCGTGCTGTGCAATTAGAGTTTTTTTATCAGACTAAGAGGTTACTTTTCTAGATACAATGGAAGAACGCATTGATCTTAGAATTTTGTACTGCAGGATGCTGATGATTGATAGAAAAATTTGGGAATGAAGTTTAACTTGATTACTTGGCTTCAAATCTGTCTGTGCTGAAGCTACTAATTTTTGCGATGTGCCACAATGGAGGATAGAAGAATAAAAGCACCAAATTAATTTTTATGTGTGTTGGAGGCAGACAGAATGTATAACATTTGAAGTAAATCAAAAGGTGTGTTTGCTGGTACATATTGTTAAAAATTTACAGTTTATCTGGTTCACCTTCAAGGAATATTTAAACAGTATGAGCCCAAAGTATTACATTCCTTGAGAAGGTCTTCTGGTAAAAAATTAATTATCAACAAAATTTCAGCTACAGAAATTAGGGAGGTTCTTTTTCTTCTCCCCAGAGATCAGAGGGAAGCTATTTCTGTTTGTTAATCTTGATGATAGTTAATGCAGTACTCTGTTCATTACATATTTTATAATAAAATCCAAATAGTGCCTCAGTGAAGGGTGTTTCATAGCCAGGATCATGAAGAATTGACCTCAGTAAATGACATTGCAGACTGATTTGTCAGACGTAATGGTGTACTACTGTTGTGTGAGAGAGAGACCCTTTGTCTATTTAGATTTTACAAACATTGATTGGGATATAAAGTTGTTTGTAAAAACAATGGAACATTTCAGAGTTTTTAATTTCTGTTTCTGTCTCCTGTGCTCCAGTTTTTGTTTGGTTGGTTTTTTTTTTTTCCAGAGTTAATCCTGAATTGCTTCTGGTAGTTCTTTTCCCTAACATGGCCTGAAGTTGACACTTAGAGAGAGTTTACTATCTTAGGGCTGCATATGCAACAGAAAATGTGCTATGCTGTTTTTTTAAAGTAGTTGGATGGCTGTGCTCTAACCTAGAGATTTCTGCCCACAGTGAATTTTTTAGTGTTCCTTTGGTAGATGAATGGAGATTGAAAGTCGAGCTGATGTCAAGAGCTGCTAGCAGTGATAAGCTCTTCTGTTAGTACAGCTTGATTGGGAATGTGTCTGTGCAGTACTGTCAATGTCAAGTTCTTATATTCCTCCCCCTCCCCCCCAAAAAAAAAAAAAATCACAAAATGTAAAACATGGATTCTCTGCAGAACAGTAAGTTTCCTTGGAGCAGTTATCTTTGTCACAATAAGGTGTTATACCGGGTATCAAAAGCTAAAGTGATAGCCAGAAAAACAAATGCTATTACTGCAATTTGAGCAGACTGATTAAAACCAGAAAAACGTGCTTGGATTACAAATAAATGTGTCATTAATTCTATCAATATTGTTAACGTTTTCCACAGAAGAACAAGAAGTGTTGATGAAATCTTTAAGGTAAGACTTGTAATGCAACTGTCAGGACTGATCCCAGGTAAATCAGGATTTGAATGTGGGATTTTTTTTTTTTTGTTGATGCTGATCATTTGGATTTTTAAATCTAGGTGATATCCCTATAATTATGTGTCATCTTTGACATTCTAAAAGAGTCTTTCCTTAGTATGATGAGAGTTTCCAAACAGCTCACTTTTTCTGAAACTTCTGTTCTTGCTGAAATCTCACTTGAATTACACTTCTGTTATGCAATTAAGAAACTACTGATACATCTATACAGCTAACTGTGCAATGCTTTTTCAATAAGAAGTACTATTAATTTGTTACTGGCAAGTGCAATAAATACCTTTTCTTGATTTTTTTTTTTTTTAAATGATTGCATGGTATATTAGGATTTACTTTTTCATTGCATCAGCAAACATTTCTGGTTGGTGTTAATTTTTAATAACTTTCTGCATCCTCACTCTTTTTTTCAGTGGATCTCTCTAAAACTCCTGTTGTCCTGGTATGGTAAACCTCTGAAAGACTGTGAACTCTGGGCTTTATGTCATGAGTGTTTATGTACTCTGCAGACTTGCATAGATTATCCAGGTATAGGATATATATATATATATATATCTTTAATTATCTTAAAATATTTGCTTAATGGTTTATGCTCACTGAATTAATGTTTTCTTTATTCTGTTGATGCAAAATATCTTGACTTTCATTTTGTGTACCAAAAAAATAATGGGCAATATTTCTAACTTCACTCTCTTAAATTCTGACTTAGAATTTTTAGTCTTTTTGGAGTTTTCTTCCATATGTAGAACAATGTCTTGTTTTCTCTTTATTCTAAGTTTTGATGTCTTTTGTGGGGGGAAACAAATCTTTGACTTCAAGCTGTGAAACAAATTTTGTGTTTAGACATTCTGGGGATGGAGAAACTGTACTGTGACTTTTAAGAAAAGCCCTTGGGACTTGTGTCTTGAAAGCTGTTAAATAAGGTTTATATATATGCAAACATAAAATTTCCTCTTGCCTGGATTTCTTTGTGACAAATGATTCCTGATGTATTTTTGACAATACAGGGCTTTGTCGATTCAAAGTACCCAGGGTCTTGTCATGACATTACTCCTTCCACATTCCCTGTGCTTCAGTTTATAGAATTATCAGAAGTCAACTTTGGAGAGAGGAACGGGGAACTGTCCTTTGACGGAATTAGAATATGTTGTATGTGACTTGGGAGAAGACCATTTCTTTCTTTAGAGATAAATTCTTTCTGGTGAGGGTGGTGAGGCACTGGAACAGGTTGCCCAGGGAAGCTGTGGATGCCCCATCCCTGGAGGTGTTCAGGGCCAGGCTGGATGAGGCTTTGAGCAACCTGGGCTAGTGGGGGTTGGAACTTGATGATCTTTAAGGTCCCTTCCAACCCAACGCATTCTATGATACTACAGGTAACTGATTCTATGATTCTGTAAATTTCCACAGGCATACTGAATGTTTGTTTAGTTTATACTAATAATAAATCTGCAGCAGTGCTGATAAACAGAACAGAGGTTCCCACCACCACCACTCTGCCTTTCCTTTTTCTTGATTTAAAAAGCCTGCTTTTGAGCGTTTGGACAGGGATGAGTTTGAAGTCTGTAACAGAATGTAAGCAATTGGATAGTAAGGTGCAGAAAACTTCTTGCATGCCTTTGGTTTTCAGCTTCAGCTATTTATCTTTTATGATATAAAACCGTTAAAAAGGAAATTGGCCAAAATTTGAGATTTCTGAGCCATTTAAGCAATGTTACCTTTAAAACTAAGTATTCTATATGCTTTGCAACAGAAGGATTATTTCAGCCTCATAGCTTGTTCCTAATGTTTGTGAAGGTTTCAAATAACTGCAAATAATGGCTCAGGTTGTAATTTAATATGCCTAGCGGGCCTCTTACCATACTTTCACAGACCCAGAATGTGTAAGTCTTCAAAATACTGAAGATTAAAGTTGTGATCTGAAACTTATGTAGCCTGTAAAAGTGAACATAATGATACAAACCACTAAACGGAGGGCACCTTACTTTAAATTCCATACTTAACAAATAAAGCTATCTTGAAGTTGAATATTGTTTTCAGATTTAGAATATTTCTGACAGAGGATTTTCTGCCTGTTCTGAGAGTATTTGTGCATTGTGGAGTGACTTACAGTGGTGCTACTACTTCTGTGCCCACGTGCACAAAAAGTTCTGTCAGCATTCCTTTTGAATAATATTAACTTATGAAAGGTGAAGGTGATATTATATAAAGCATTTGTTAAAATTTTCTTTGTTTTAACACTGTAGAGTAAGATTGGTAGCTAATGAGTCATAAATATATGAAATGTGGAACAAGCTGGATTATTTATTATTTATTCTCTTAGACAGGCTTTTCCTCCAAATCCTTCCTTGATCACGCTTTTTTCATTATCCTAAGCAGGAATTATCTGGGTAAGAAAACATACCCCAAAGCTAGCCTCTTCACATATTTTTAATTCAATCCTGCTACAAAATTTGTTTGTACACTCCACTGAGACTTACTTATTTCCTTTCCTCTTATCAGAGGATGTTGCTTACATGTTCCTCAGGGGTGCTTTAGAGAACACAGGTGAGAATTCTCAGTTGTAATGAACTCCAGATCTGGTTTGTGCAACTTGTGTTGCAGATTCAGGGCCAGAGGCATTAACTCTTTGAGGAGCAAAGAGAGTGAACATTAAGAGTTCTCAGGGGAGTTGCCTCTGCAGAAATAACTAGTAAAGGTTCCTGTGCAGGAAAGCTTTTCTTTTCAAGACATGTAGTTCAGGTCCAGCTTAAGTGTTATTGAAGGTAGTAGGCAAGCCTTTATTTACATTAAGCATAGTGAACAATTTAATGGCTTTATGTCTGTTTTGTACAGGTAACTACAAAAGCAAAAGGATTATTTCCTTGTTTTCTTACTTTATTTTTCTCTCTTAGATCTCTTCAATTTATTGTTTAATAATAATATTTGTTTTATACCTCTTTAATATTTTATTTAAAATTAATAAATTTAATGTTTTAACTTCATATTTAATTTAATGTGAGAATCTATTGCCCTAGTACTCTGTTTTTAATAAGAAAACAGTGTATTTGATGGTAGTATGCAAAGGCAGGACTACATTGCTAACCAATTGGCTTATCATATTGAAGCATGTTAAACTACAGTGTGCTTCAAAGACATCAAACAGGTGGACCACAACTTTTTCATAATTTAATTCGTATAACGTGATTTCATGGCCTTAATGTTAAGTTCCTGAAGACCTCAGATCATTTAAAGCAGTTTTAGAAGTCAGTTATTTCTTTCCTAACTACAGAATATTTCAGGGACTTAAAAATACCAATCTATGTAACACTTCTTGAGTGGGACAGTGTGTGGGACAGCATTAGTGTTGTTTAAAATATTATTTATCATACAATAATTGCTAACATTGCAAACTATTTTAAATTTTTTTTTTTTTATTAGTGTTAAATAGTTACAAGAACAGATATTTATTATGCCTTGCACTTTTGTGGCTTTTTTTTCAGTGGTCTTATGTTTGGACTCCGTGCTGATTGACTGCCATGGAAGTATCCTCTTTGCTGCTCCAAGAGCTGAAGGTAAACTAATACGTTGCGTGCTCTGTGCTTTTATTTCTTCTGGGGGGCAGTGGACAAGAAGGCAAATATCTTACCTTTTGTTTTTGGTCTCTTTTCTCATTTAGAATCTTGTGATATATTTTATTTAGCTCCTGAAATTGAAGAAGAGGATGTAGATACTGAGAAGGTAATGTAGTAGGTTATGTAGGTCGCTATGCATTTTATCGAAAGACAGTTGTATCCCTCTGTTGCTTGAAGAACGAAGTGAAACTCTCCAAGATTCTGATAATATTTCTCATTTCTCTCAATATTTCTTGGTTTTCTGTGGGGTTTTTTTATATATTGATCTACCATAAAGCTAGTTGCTTCTAAAAAATTATTTTGCCTTCCAAAATTGTTGGAGTAACTGCCAAAAATCTGTTATTCAATAGTTTTCCATAAGGGTTAATTGTTTTCAGTCTGTAAGACAGACTTTGAAGTCATCTTTTCACATTCTGGAGGTCACACATCAGTGTTTTCGACTGTCTACGCCAAAGCCCAGTCATTAATCTCATTTGGAAGATTGGATAAAAATATAATTACAGCATATTTTTACTGTGGGAATGTTATGAATTATCTCTCTTGACAATAAAGTTTTATTAGAGCTTTTTGCTATAGACAAAAGCCTTAAGGAGCTCTCAGACCAAAGATGTTAAAAATGTCAATAAATAGCAGGTGAGTATTTGTCTCCTGCGCAACTGCATCTGAATTACAAACTATACCAGAGTGATCTTAAGAGTTATGAAAACAGAACTTATGGTATCTTTCTATTGCATAACAAGAAAAGAGGTTAGCTAATATGTACCTTGTGCCCCATGAGCCCGTTAAAATCACACATTAACCAGAAAATGTTTGTATATCTTCTTCTTTAAAGTTGCTCTTTTTTCAACTGCTTTGATTCAACATGCAGGTTTTTCAAAGGCTTCAAAAGCTTAAACTAACCCTGAAATATAATACAACAGTTTCACCAGACAGTCGAAATTAATAATCCTGAAGTCATTGTGCTCTATTATTTTTCTTTAGAAAATCTGAAGTAATCTTTTTTGCTTGTTTTTCTACAACATTATATATAGAATAAGCTTACTTGTTTTTTTGGCTTTTTCCTGATATTGGTATAACTTTTTGGTTGTTACAAACATTTAGTTAGAATTATGGTATGGGAATCAAGACTGTATAATGCCACTCACAGTAACTGTACTACCTTAGTAAAAGGATTTTTTTTTAAGGATATGCTGTCAATATTATGTCAAATTTTTCCTAAATAAATAAATTTAGGTTAAATTTGTGATCCCACTGACCTGTTGGAATTCTGGACCTAGGGGGAAAGAATTTTTTTTGTTTTGGTGGATCTGCTTTCTCCTATTTCAAATATTTTTGTACCTTTCAGTAGCCTTTGAAGTAGCAGTTGAAGTGGTTCACAGGTTATTTCCTTTATAGTGATCTTCCTTGTTATGTTGTGTTCATTGCTGTTACTTTGCTCAAAAGTGCTAGAAAACATTGTTTTACAGGACCACATTATTTACCACTGTGCTTAGGTTTCTGCGCATTGAGCACTTTTAATATCTTTCAGAGGCAATGTGAAGAAGCATGGTGCTTTAACTTTGTCAAAATTGCATTTGTAGTACATGCTAACATATGTAAACTAAGCATTAAGTAGTCTGAATCAGGCTCTGTCCAAGAATTGTAATTCTTCAAATAAGGCAAGAAAGCTTGAGAATGTCAAGTACTTTCAAGGTCCTTCATCATGGCAACTTCAATTGGTCTAGCTGCAGGTAGCACAACAATTGCTAAAATAAATATACAGTACCTTGTTCTTATATGTGTAATCTTCTCTGTATAATGTGACTTGTACTGGCTAGCTTGTAATTGCTGTGTGTCATTTACTAGATGAATTATCATGACCTTTTTTAAATAAATTGCAACTGGCCAGGTTTTATGGTGGAACTCTAAAGCTTGCAACAATCTAGGTTTTTATGAGAAAGGAATTCTTCAAAACGGTTCTAAAAACACTGTTTGTCCTGAATAATTTTCCTAGACGAAGGATAAGGCAAATTATGTCTGTTGCTCCAACAGTAGAAAATGAGTTACTATTATTGCCCTGCATGCATAGCAGCTAGTTTTTGAAATGGGTTGAGATTTTCATTAGTGTCTTCAAAAGCCAAGTGTGATCTTGTACTTTGGAAGCTCTAGTCATTATTTTTTTGCAGGGAATGAGGGGAATTTTTTTATAATTTCCCGGAATTGGTTTTGAAGTGGAAGCTCTTTTTGGTCTGTTTACATCTTTTCTGTCTCTTACGCTGTTCTGATAGGTCTGCATTTATAGTGTTGCTGCAGTTCTGTGGATGGCTGCGAAGTACAGTGTCCCACCGAGTCACAAACTAGCACTGCCAAGAAAATTTAAAAAGCTTCTTCTGGATATGGCAAGAAAAAACCCTGAAGAAAGACCTTCTTTAGCTGATGCAATTAAGGTTACTAGATTTAAGCAATTTTATGTGAAATTTATTTGTGTCTAAAGTCTCATTTTAGTGATTTGAATATCAAAATATTAATTTATTTTTTGTAATAGGCTAGTATCTAATTAAATGATAAGGAGTCACTTTGGGGTTTGTTTTTAAAGTTACCTCCCTAGAGACACATAAGGGTGTGTTTTTAATTTATATTTAAATTGTCAATAAGGTACTCAGAATAGGTTCATAAGACTTCCTAAACTTAGATTATTTCTAATTGACTATTTATCTTGACCTTGTCCTTGTCCAAGAATATCTCACTTGGTTGAAAAATTATTTACTGAATGAAAATTATGATTTTTTTTTTTTAGACTTGCAGTCGTTATTTACTTGAACAAGGTATAAACAGCAAATATATTTTGGCATTGTTGAATGAATCTGTCTTTAAGGTAAGAATGCCACCTTTTTTAAACCTCTACTTTTTTCCAATTATTTCTGTAAATTGTATTCCAGTGAGATTTTTGTCCCCTGCAAGTATAGTTAGATTTGTTCTTTTTTTTTTTTTTTTTTTTTTTAACTTTCAAGTAGTCTTTAGGTATTGCTTTTTTCTAGGTCTTGGTGTTGGAATGGTCATTCAGCAGATTTTGGTGCCCTGATTCCACAATCTGCATGGGTTAAAGCTCAGAAATAAGAACCAATTCCTTAATTTCATAATCTCTCTTTCATTTCCCACCCCTCTTATCAGAACAGAAGACATTGATATGTAATCGCTGTGTTCTGTTTATGTTTCAAATATGTGGATTTAATGCACGCAGTGATCAGTCAATCCATGGAATTGACTTTGTTCAGAACTTTGATTACCTAAAGGTTCTGATTTGAAACAGAGGGTTATCAAGATTTCTAAATAGTTCTACCAATCCTTAGGGTTTTGTGTCTCATTTGTTTTAATTTTCCACCTTGGCATGACTAGGTCACTGCTTTGCAGATTACAGAAACAGAAAATCTGAAAATTCTAGGTTTATATGGGCTTGAGGCTTTTCCTTTTTCTTTTTTTTTTTTTTTTTTTTTTTTTAATAATGTCCTGAGCAAAATTTAAAAAAAAAAAAACTGCAAGTAAATTCAGTTTGGACTTCAATTTTTATTGCTAGGCTGTTGAGGAAGAAGTAGTCTCATCTCAAGATAATAGTGCTTTTGAATTTAAAAATGACAACCATGAAATGGACCCTTCTGAGTCAAGCCTAGGTAAGCAGTCAGACTCTTAGGCATATTTGCTTTGTTTTAATGTTCTCTAGATCGGTTCTCCATGTAAGATTTTCTTGGTCATGTTCAGTTTTTTTTTTTCTAAATTGTGTGCTATTTACCTTGCATTTATATTTTACATGTTATTCATCTTTCTAACTGTGGTTTTGTTTTTAGGATTTGTGCCTATTACCAGTGACAGTAAACTTGTAGCAGTTGAAGGACCAGTACCATGCCAGATTTCTCTAAATTGTGAGAAAGCTACGTTACCTGTCGCATTCACCTCTCCCGCAACTCACTTTAAGCCTATTATTCTGCAACAAAGTGCAAATATAACAAAGTTAGTATATCTTAAAGCAGAATAAGTTAAACTTGAGATTTCATTGTTAAATCTACTGGAATTGTCCTAAAAGAAATTTTTTTGTTCCTTTTCAGAGAAGTTCACACACCAGTTTCTGAGCAATTCAGGAAAGAGACAAGAAAAGAAAAACACATGGACCACAACAAATCAGAGTATATAGAAGACTCTAAAAGCTACGGTACTGAGGACACAGGTGTTGTTGAAACCGCACCTGAAGTACCTGAGTGTGATTTACAAGTTCCATGCCACTCATCCCAGATATCTTCAGAAGATCAAGAGCCAGGCGATACATTTACTTCTGTGGTTACATTACCAGCACCATCTGATTCCTCACATATTCTACAGGAAAAGAGCATTTTATCTGAAGTTCCTTCGAGCTCCTTAGCTTGTCCTACATCTCCTAATTTTCTTCATATAAATAACATAATTCTCAAACAGCATTCAGAGAAAAGAGTTTTGACGTTTGTGCCAGTACATTTAGCTGTATCAGAGCAAATACCACATAAACCTCTTCGTTCAAGAATTGTTTATGATTGCTATCATAGTTTGCCAGTGCTACTTTCAAGTACTATTGCAAGTTATAAAATAGGCACACAAGCAAAAAATGATGCCCCCTTTTGCAAAGTGCAAAACTGTGAGACTGCTGATACACAGAACAAGTTTAATAAAAGTAACCAAGTTATTCAAACCAACGACCAAGAAACTGAGTGTTCTACCAGTGTAGACAGTATTTTCACTGAACAAGAATACTTACCATGTACCTCAGTCAATCAAGACGATTCTCAATTCTTTGATGTTGAAGTCCTGCCCCAACAGAGCAGCACAAGTGACACTGCGCTGCAGAAAGTGGTTCATCTTATACAAGAGGAGTTTGCATTTGATGGCTATCTAGAAAATGGAGATGAAGTTTTTGGTATGGGTACGTACATTTTATTCTATGTATTATCATCAGTAATGCATAAGAATATTATTAGTATTGTCTTTTTTCTCTCTTTTTTTGTTTTTTTTTTCTTTTTTTTAAACAAGGTAACTTCATTTTAAACTTAAAGGAAATTAAGTTTGGTGTGTTCTCTGATAAAATTTGTGAGAAGTTTTGTGACCTCTTCTGGGATGAAAAATTACTGGAGAATCTCTATCAGGTAGTACATGGAGAAAGACCTTCACATTTATGGTAGGTGTTTTTCAACTTTTCCTTCTTGCAGTTCAATTTAATGCTTCTCTCCCTGCTTCCTAGAAGCAGGAAAGGATATGCTGCTTCTCTTCAGGTATCTTGTTTCCTGACAACTGTTAATTTCCCAGATGCTTCATGGCCTTCCCCATAGCATGGAGTGCTGAATAGCTTAGCAGAAAATATTTTCTATTAAGCTTATCTGTAGCTCCATCTTAGAATAGCTGAATAATGGAGACCTAATTCTGATCAATATTGTTTTCAACCATTAATGGCGAGCTTCCTAGTCTTGTTAGAAAGAGGCTTTGTAATCAGAAGTGAAATGTATTGTTCTTACTATTCAATTTGCTTATTCTGTTTGAGTTTAGATCTTTATACATCCTTTTGTTCTATTCACACCTAAGAACAAGGAAGTTAGTTTTGCTAGAAATGTTTTACTTAACTAATTTTTGACTCAATGTTCCTCCTGGCAATCTTTTTAAAGTAGCCTATTAAGTGAGAAAACATCAGCCTAATTTCTCATTTTTACTATTTCATCTTCAAGGACATATTTATGTGAAAAATAATAAAAATAATTTGTGTTTTATTGCAACCTCCAAATGTAGAATACTTATAAAAGTTCTTGCTGAAGGCTATTGTAAACAGTAATCAATTTATATGTATGCTTATGTATGTTTTCTTTGTCTGACATAGTCTGGAACTACAAATTGGAAGTTTTGACAAAGCTTGGTAGATATGGTCTACAAAAACTTCAGTATTAAAAGATGTATTATCCCTACAGCAAGCTTCAGAGAGAATAGACTACAAACTCCAGATGTCAGAACCTGAGGTGCTGGCCTATGTCACATTTGGGTTGGGATTTTTAAGGAGCCATTGAAAATTGGTTGGAGGTTAGGCTCTTAATTCCCCAGAGCTGAATTTTATGGCAGGAGAAACTTGAGCTGTTACAGCTGAATTACGGAGGTATCTGAAGAGGTCATCTTCTTTATGAACTTTTGTTTCAAAGCAAAGTTTTTTGAAAGCAGGAGTGAAAACAAAATCATTATTTATTATGCAGTATAAAAATGCAGGTCTAGCATTTAGATCAAGCAGAAGGACTGCATCAAAGTATTTCTGAGACCTGGCTTACTTAAAATTATTTAGGCAAAGAACATAGCAGGTTTTAATTCAGTGAAAAACCCATTGCAGTAATTTTCAGTCCAAGTTATACCTGGAGTTACACCTTCTGTTTGTATGTATTCTGATACTTCCTTTGGCATTTTAACAAATCCTGTAATGGGAAATCTCTGTGTCTTACTCAGTGTGCTTTACTGTCTGTTTGAAAGCTTCTTTTCTTGTAAAATAACAGCTGAAGCCGAACATGCAAACTTCAGGAGGTAGATAAATGCTTTGAAGCCCGTCACGTACATGGTAGAGTGTGGTGGGTTAGCCCTTGGCTCAG